GTCCGTGTGTTGTGAAGCGGTTGAGGTATTAGAGAATCTAGCGTTTTTAGCGAATGCGAGCAACCTTGTGTTGTACCTTAGGAAGTTCATGCACATGTCGACGGCGAGATCGTCGAGTGAAGTCAGTACTTTCATGGGCACAGCCTTCCTCCTTGCTCTTCTCGGTGGCTTCCTCTCCGACGCCTTCTTCTCTGCCTATCTCATCTTCCTCATCTCTGCCTCCATCGAGTTTCTGGTACTTAAACTCTATCTATTTCCTTTTCTTCCTCAGATTTCGTTTTTGATCTAAGAATTAGCCAACCACAAAGCTATTAAACCCGTTCACACTACATAAAACCCTTATAATTATCATATACTAACACATGTGTGTATCTCAAAATATCCAAACTGTTTTCGCCATTTGTTGAGTAAAAAAGTTTACCACCTTTGTTGCAAATTCTAACGGACCAAGCCATTGGTTTGAGATGTACATACATGCATGCATGATACGGTTTAATAAAATAAAAGAACATGCATGAAACGGTCTTGTATCTATTGGTAAAGTTGATTTGTAGGGCCCACTACAGTGACCTTAGGCGGGGCCCGTCCTATTCGTACTTGTGCATGTCTAGATCTGCTTTAGCGATCTCCCTTTGAGAGGGATATTTATGATTCTTGACTTTCACTTTATAAATTAATCTGTCATGAGTTGTTGAGTTTGCCACATTATATGTTAAACTAAAACAAATTTTGAAGAAAGGAAAACATGCAACCAAGTGTATTACAAAATTAGACTTGTGCTATCTGATCTTGGTGTAAATGACCATAGTATCTGTGGTGAGTTTTTTTGTACAATGTTTTTAATTAAGTTTAGTTGCTTAGGTAATAATTAAATTACTAGTTATTTTCAAAAAAAAAAATTACTAGTTTTTGTTGTTTTCTTTGAAATTTGATCTTAACCCTCAAGTGTCAACGTATAAAACACATGTCATTGTCACACTTTAAAACAAATTAAGAAAATGTTTTGATTAATGTTAAGAACAATTTATTTAGTTCATAAACAATTTCACGTGATTTTCTTTTACCCTTATCATTACTTTAAACTTTAGGGTTAATTTGTCAAATAACCATAAAAAAATTTATATCTAAAATGTTGACTAAATACCCTAGATTTAAGGGTTATGATTTATCCACATATGATAGTTTTGGTTAGATTTTAAGATAAGTTTTTTTTTCTTGGTTATTTGGCCAAGTTTCATAAACTTTATAGATTAACTCCATATATCGCGGAATAAAAATGATCACATCCTTATGCATATCTTCTATTGCTGATAAAATTAAATTATGCCAATACATTTAAGGGAAAATTGTTAGCACTAGTATAATGGAATTGATCAAGATATACTTACACGTACAGGGACTAATCCTGCTCACAATCCAAGCTCATCGTCCGTCCTTAATGCCGCCGTCGACGTCGTGCGATAACTCCGCGGCGTCACCATGCAAAGCCGTCAGTGGTTCCAAGGCGGCAATACTGTTCTTGGGACTGTATCTAGTGGCTATAGGAGTCGGAGGGATAAAAGGATCATTACCGTCACTCGGAGCAGAGCAATTCGACGAGAGCACGTCCAAAGGTCGGAAACAGAGGTCCACATTCTTTAACTACTTTGTGTTCTGTCTCTCATGTGGAGCACTCGTGGCCGTGACGTTCGTCGTATGGCTCGCGGACAATAAAGGCTGGGAATGGGGATTTGGAGTCTCCACTATTTCCATCTTACTCTCCATTTTTGTTTTTCTCTCTGGCTCGACGTTTTATAAAAACAAGATCCCTCGTGGAAGTCCTCTCACCACAATGTTGAAGGTAACTTGAAAAAAACATGTTTTTGATTATTTTCAACGAATCATATTTGATTTCCTAACGTCTCTACAGGTTCTTCTCGCAGCTTCCATAGTCGGCTGCTCAAGTAAAACTTCGAGCAATGATGTTGTGGACTTCTCTGTGAGCTCATCTACTCACCCTTTTTCCAAAGACCTTCAATCACAAGAAGGAGAAAATATACATTCTCAATCACTAACCAATAGCTTGAGATGTCTAAACAGAGCCGCGGAGGGCAAAAGGATCCATAGATTGCTCGAATGCACAGTCCACCAAGTCGAAGACGTGAAGATTGTGCTCAAAATGCTTCCAATATTCGGCTGCACAATAATGCTCAGTTGCTGCTTAGCTCAGCTCTCTACTTACTCTATCCACCAAGCTGCGACAATGGACACAAAGATCGGAAACCTAAAGGTTCCTCCAGCTTCTTTACCGGTTTTTCCCGTCCTGTTCATAATGGTTCTTGCACCAATGTATGACCATCTGATTATCCCACTCGCTAGAAGAGTAACCAAATCCGAAATGGGAATCTCTCATTTGCAAAGAATCGGTGTAGGCTTAGTCCTCTCAATACTGGCAATGGCAGTGGCTGCTCTCGTCGAGTTAAAGCGGAAGCGAGTCGCCATAGAAGCTGGAATGCTTGACTCAAAAGAACCCTTACCCATCACTTTCCTATGGATCGCGCTTCAGTATCTGTTTCTAGGATCAGCTGATCTTTTCACACTAGCCGGATTGCTAGAGTTTTTCTTCACAGAAGCACCTCCATCTATGAGATCATTGGCGACATCGCTCTCATGGGCTTCTTTGGCAATGGGGTACTATCTGAGCTCGGTGATGGTGCTGATAGTGAAAAGTGTGACTGTGAAGGCAGGACAAAGCCCTTGGCTTGGTGGAGAAAGCATTAACCATGACAGACTAGATTTGTTCTACTGGCTCATGTGTGTTCTTAGTTTTGTTAACTTCTTGCATTATCTCTTCTGGGCAATGCGTTACAAGTACGTATCAACTGGTGCTAGAAGCTGATCCGAATATACACTCTTTAATAGATGGAGCAGGACTTACAATTCTGTTAGAATGTTTATGATTTATAAAAGGCCAAGGTTTTAAACCAGAAATGTATAATATGCAATTAATTTCCCCCTAAAATTCAATTATAGAAAAAACTGATACATAAAATTAATTTTATTATGTTTTAATCAAAAATTCAGTTATTTATTATCATTTCGTTTTTCTTTCTTTCTCTAAGTTGGTTTTTAATTAGTTCCAAATTTTGTTCTTACCATTTTTCACAACCTCATGAACATTTCATGCCATTTAGAA